ACTTTAAGCTAAAGTCTGACATAGATATAGTCCAGAATAACTTCTTAAGAAAGCTATTAGCTCATTTAATTCCATCCCTAGGGCAGCGGGGAGAGCTGAAAACAGGACAGTCTGTACGTGCGTACTGAACTGATTGGCAAAAGACCTCATCTCAGCTGTCTTACAAGTGGGAGCAGACTTTACATGCTCCACAGGGGTGTAGTTGAAAACTACTCGCAAGTTATCCTCCTCTGCTGTGCAATTTAAGTACAGGCCCCACATGGTATGGAGTCATTACACTGTGAGTTTTCCTACCCCTGACAGCAGCCGCCAATGAACTTGGGCAGAGACTGGAAAATTCACGGTGTAATGATGTCACATAACATCACACTGGGGAATGTAGTTCCATGTTATGGGGCGGGGTAAGAAAAGCCACAGTGGGGATGCCTGTGTCCCTGTCACACATGCAACATCTGCTGTCTCACTTTTGAGGGATGCAGCCATTCATGTTGTCAAGGGCTCCCAGGCTTACTTAAATTTAGTAGTCACCTCTAGACAATATTCATTTCTGTTGAAGATGCTAGGATCAATGTTTATTAAAGTGATGGAAGAGGGGATTTTAAATATTGCCATCTATCAAGAACTTGTTCTGGAACACATTGCCTCAATCTTTATCATGCCTTTGCAAACATGCCCATGGAAAGATTACTAACATGTTTTAGAAATGCTCTTCACAACTATTTTGAGTATCATATATTAGGTTGCAAATTAAATGGATGTCAGATAGTTCAGCAGCTGTAAAGGCACAAAAAGGGTTTTCTGTCCTTGCCCCTTCTAGGAATAAAAGTGAAGAACTTCAACACTATTTGTGCACAGATGTTTGGATGAAGAGATGTAGTTCAGTGGCAGAGCAAGTGCTTTGTGTGACAAAGGTCCCACTCAGATTCAATCCCTGGCATCTCTGGGCAGGGCTGGGAAATACTCCCTGTCTGAAACCATGGACTCATAACGACATCAAGTGGGTTGTCCTGGCCACCTGACAATGCTGTCCTGCAGGGGTGGGGATGAATAGCCCCACCTCTGCCCTAGAGAACTGCTGCCAGTGTAGGCAAGAATGAGTTAAATGGACCAATGGTCTGATTAAGTACAGGCAGCTTTCTATGTTTCTGTGTTCCTAGAAATCTTTAAAAGAATGGACATTTAAACATAGAATGAAAGACCTTTTTGGTCCTGCTCAGCTACATTGCCGCTTACGCTCATATAGCTAATGCTAGCTGTCAACAACAACAACAACAACAACAATAGAGTGACTTTTTAAAAGCCTATGTTGTTGTTGTTTAGTCGTTTAGTCGTGTCCGATTCTTCGTGACCCCATGGACCAGAGCACACCAGCACTCCTGTCTTCCACTGCCTCCCGCAGTTTGGTCAGACTCATGTTTGTAGCTTCGAGAACACTATCCAACCATCTCGTCCTCTGTTGTCCCCTTCTCCTTGTGCCCTCCATCTTTCCCAACATCAGGATCTTTTCCAGGGAGTCTTCTCTTCTCATGAGGTGGCCAAAGTATTGGAGCCTCAGCTTCACGATCTGTCCTTCCAGTGAGAACTCAGGGCTGATTTCCTTAAGAATAGATACGTTTGATCATCTTGCAGTCCATGGGACTCTCAAGAGTCTCCTCCAGCACCATAATTCAAAAGCGTCAATTCTTCGGCGATCAGCCTTCTTTATGGTCCAGCTCTCACTTCCATACATCACTACTGGGAAAACCATGGCTTTAACTATACGGACCTTTGTTGGTAAGGTGATGTCTCTGCTTTTTAAGATGCTGTCTAGGTTTGCCATCACCTTTCTCCCAAGCCTATAGATCACATTTAATACTGTCTATTTTGGCAATGCTACATTTTTAAAATTGAAAGTGTGTGTGGCGGTGACAACAAAACTTTCCATACTCAAAGCATTCAGAATTTAAGGTAAAGACCTTTCCTGCCGCCCCACATTGTTATGAGAGGAGACAGACATAAGGACCCAGTTGATATTACCTTTCTTTTTTTCTTTTTTTTTTTGCTTTCTCCTTCACCCCTACCCTGTAATCAACTAGCACTGCTGTCCTTGGTAGGGGGAGGGAAGCAGCCCCACGATGCTTTAATATCACACTCACATCTTCTCTGTTTACCAAGAGATGGCAGCTCTCTTCTTAATATGAGCCCTTGTCAAGGAAAGCCCACAGCTAATCTTGCCATTCCACTTACACTGCCTGCAAAGCCTCAATTCCATTTTTCATAAAGGTTTGTATGAACAAATCTCTTCCCATTAATCCCATACCTCCCTTCAGATTCTGCACATGCATCTCTGCATAAAGCAGCCTTTTCTTCCTCTTGCAGTTAAAAGATTTAGGGATAACAGAAACCTCTTGAACACAGGACATTGTGCTTGAATATATGTGTATATAATACACAAATACATAAAAACGAGCCTATCAGGAATGGCACCACAGAGGGATCCAGTGGGCTGTGGAATGTCTTGTTTAATAAAAGGGATGTACTACTACAAGTTGGTTGAAAATGCTTGGCTCAGAGCCCTTATAAGCAATGTGAACTCACTCTGATAATATCTTCTGTTTGAGTGCTGCTACTAACCAAAGAAAAACAGCCTGAGGGCATATAATCATTTAAGATTGGGTATACTAAGAACTATGCCACTGCAATGTGACGAAATCAGATCAGCATGCAGCAACATTACACTGGCATAGGACCACAGAACAGCCCTTCCTATATCAGAGAGCAACCTTAGCTTCACCAGGCTTTTTAAGAATTTGCATATGAAAAGAAATACAATTAAACTACCATCACACAAAAGTACTGCACCTTACATTGTCCTTAATTCAATTCAACATTTGTCTACCAATACTAGTCCAATACTCAGTTGGAAACTGTGAGGACACACAGGCAATTGCCCCTCTCCACATTTTCAGCCCTGGGTTCTTCAGGCTCCATTATTAAACAATTGTTTTAACAGTTATTAAAAAAACTTGTTTGTTCCTCTACCTAGGATCAGACATTACATGTTTATGGATCTTGTGCCAGAAGTTCTCAAACATTTTGCAAAGAGGAACGACTAAAAGTTCCCCAGGATTTGCCAGCCTTGCCTTCTTTTTCCAGAAATCTCATACATCTTGAAGGCAAGGGAAAGTCATAGCTCAGTGGCAGGGCACATGTGTTTTGTGTAAACAACCCAAGGTTCAATATCCAGCTTCTCCAAGCAGAGCTGGAAAAAGACTCCTGTCTTATACTATCTATAAGCATTCCAAGGTGGTGTTCTTATCACACGTCATCCAATACCCACAATCCATGAGAAGACCTTTCCTGGGTCAGGTCATTATTTTTTAATATAATTTTTATTTATTTTCCATTTAATATTATACATTCACATCATCTTTATCCATTATACCACCTTGGCTCTTAGAGCCTATTGACTTCCTTCCCTCCTGCCTCATGGCTTTCAAAATTAACCTTTACTGGATCAGATTAATGCCCTTCTAGCAAAGTATTCTAATCCAGATGCTCTGGAAGCTCACACTCACAGCCAGGGCACAAAGGTAATGACTATCCCCTGATATGTATCTTCAGGGAATATACAAACAAACTGCTGTGGCCAGCAGAGCATTCTCAGATCCACATTTGCATCTCTGTCACCATGATTGCCCGTACGTATGTGCATGTACAGCCAGCCCAACATTTCTGTATTGTTGTGCTGTGCAACTGTGGACTGGGGTTACGAGAACTCAAAGCATGAACACACTGCAGGGCACAGATCAGAATCATAATAACACCTGCAATGTTGAAGCAACATAGTCCTAGTTTCCTACTGTTGAATCCTTACTCACCACATTGGATTCAGTCCTAAAGACTGCAGCATTTAAGAATGGTTTGGTTGCGTGACAGTATCAGCTTGTTATTTTTATACCCCAACAAAGCTACACCAATTATTCTCCTTCTGATACAAAATCTATAGTTGACCCGTAGTCTTGCTTGATGACGGATAGGACGGCAGGATGTGGCGAGAGCTGTTGTCTATTTATAAATGGACACTAAGTTGATATTTGTAAGATCCTGTATCATGAAAGTAACACGTAGAAGCTTTTAATACGGAGGTAACTGCAAGTGATTGGATTACAGGTGTGGATAGCCCTTGACTCAAGTATCACTGATGATCTTTCCAAAGATGAGCAATTCAGGCTCTAAACACACCAATATTTTATTTTTAACAGTCGATGAATTAATGAAGGTGATGCAAGAGAAAACCATTTTTAAAAATTGAATTGCTTTAACAATAACTCAGATTTTTATCCACACAAACAGGCAGTATTACATACTTTGGTATCCTTTGAATATATACAATTTTCAGAAAATGCTCAACAGTGCAGATCACTTATAAATTGATGAGATCGAATAAATAAAAAGCAAGGCTGTTATGGTAGGACCCACTGTTTCACAACAGTTTTCTAGAATCCTCCTGATCAGTACTGCTGACTGGATCTTCTGGACCTAAGACACAATCTGTATTCAGCATCCCTTTCCCCTGCAGAATGCAATCCCTGACCATACGACTAACATTATGGGATCCCCAACCCACAGTACATCTAATCAGCTGGAACATCAGATGCAGGGCCTCTGAAAAGCCCTACTGGCTGAAAAACTGAGCAGCAGTTTCTAAACTACACCCCCCCCAAAAAAAAGGCTAGGAGCACAACATGGTCACATGAATAAAACAGCTGGTTATAAAACTGGGAGCTTTGTCTCAGCTACAGGCAAGTAATTACTAGCAAGTCACAGCTGTGCCCGATCACATGAGCAGGTGAAAATGTGATTGTGATGGGGTGTGATCACACTCTCATCATGCCCCCCCCCCCATTCTTCCCATGAGAATTTGCTCAATGCTACTCAAAAGTGGGATTATTTGCTCCAAGAAGAGTTGAGCAATTTGTCCTTGGGAGGCCTCTTTTAAAACCCACATACAAGCAGAACAGGGGTGGGGAGGGCAGCTAACAAGGCTTTCTGTAGTTAAAAGACAAAGAGCAATGACCGCTGTCAAAGGTGACAATGACATCTAAACAAATTGAGGGGACTTTCTGAAGAGACCTTCAGGACACCAAACAACAATCCCTTTTCCGGATCTGAAAGACAAGGCAAAAGAAAACAATATTTTGCAGAAAGTGGATATTGGAGCAGGTCATCTTTATTATGATTCTGAATGGCTGGACCGCATCACATCTAGATAAATGTCACGTAACTAAAAGCTTAAAACATTGCTTTCTGCAAAAAGGATTTTATTTCCAGTTGAGGATTTCACTACTATTCCCTCTCGCAGCTAATCCATTATAGTGCCCTTTCTCGTCCTCTCTTGTGTACAGGGCAGCCTGGCTTACACTCATGGCAGGAAAACGGCTAAACAGCATTTCTCTCCATCAAATGGGTATTGAAATTGGTCTCTTGTGCAGAGTTATTGGTTTCATGTTTGAGGCTGTAGCAGTAATATGCAGTGTTTATGGGAAAAGGCAATAACAGGAGAAGCTAAATGAGATGGAAGCAGTGTTCTACCTGAGTCCTGTATATGCTCTGTAAAGGGGATGGGGCAAAATTCAAAGCACAGCACAGAGGGCTTGAAGGGGACCCTTCCCCCAGTTGCACTTTTCTCCTTGAAGTTGCTTTGCATTCCCCATACCACTTTTAATCAATCAATCTTCCTCCCTCTCAAGCACCAGTTACATGGACGCAGCAGTGAGTGACACCCATGTCTGCAGCCTCACATCTAGTTTGGTCCTCTGTGGTCCATTGAATAGAGAACTGAACTGTGCAGTGGGACCACCAGGATTCAAGCAGTAATCTGACAGCCATGTATTTGAGAGGTCAATTGTAAGTCAGAGTTTGCCAGGCAAACTCCACAGGAAGCCTATGCATTAAACATACTAGCCCCTTGCGAATGTATTCGCTTCTAGGAAAACATGCCTGGCAGACTAGACTTGCACTCTCCACATCCACATAACTAAGCTATAGAGGCCCTTAGGCTGTTAGAAAACAAAGAATTTAAAGGTATGCTAAAGGACATGACAGAGTTTTGCAGAATCATGCAAGGTGTGAAGAACGTGGACAGAGTTTTACACCTTCTCATAATATATTAGAACCAAGGCTCATCCAGTGAAGCTGAAAGGTGGGAGATTCAGGACAAACAACAAATAAGTACTTCTGCACAGTCAATGACATTGCTGCCTGACCTGAGCAATTAGGGCTCTTCTGTTCACATGAGGATAGGAACCATGTTTTCCTCAGGCCTGTGAACATTGTGACCAATAAGTAGGGGGCTGGGTGAGGTTTATCCAAAGGTCTATTGGGAGAAACAATTATGAGCTACTTCTTACTTCCTTTATGTAACTTCTGCTCTGGAATAATGGAGTTCAGAGGTCAGCTGCTTTTGAATAAGCTTGCTAAATCCACATTTGATGAAAATGGACTCAGTTCCCACAAATATAATGATTAATCTTTTGTACCCTTCCTTCTGGCCTAAGACCTTGAGAGTAACTATGAATCTGCTATTTATGAAATCATCTTCTTTTGTTTGTCTGGATTCTGTTTCTCCAGCGCCCCTGCTTCAAATAAATATCTTATTTTAAGTAAGCAATATAGAGTTCTGCCTGGGCTGTTTCAACTGTATTTTTGCCAAAGCTTTACGGTTGAGCCAGCAAAGGCAGCTGTATTATACAGTGGTGCCCCGCAAGACGAATGCCTCGCAAGACGGAAAAACCGCTAGACGAAAGGGTTTTCCGTTTTGAAGTTGCTTCGCAGGACGAATTCCCCTATGGGCTTGCTTCGCAAGACGAAAATACCTTGCGAGTCTAGAGATTTTTTTTTCGCTTTCCCCCCCCTTTATCTAATCTGCTAGGCCTTTAATAGCCTTTAATAGCCTTTTAGCAGCTAATCCCCTAAGCCTTTAAGCCTTTAATAGCCGCTAAACAGCTGATAGCGCTAATAGCGCTAATCCGTCAATGGGCTTGCTTCGCAAGACGAAAAAACCGCTAGACGAAGACTCTTGCGGAACGGATTAATTTCGTCTTGCGAGGCACCACTGTACAATCTGAAGGTTCCCACTTTTTTGCAAGGAGATTATTCACTGGCAGCAAACAATGGTATTCATTGAAAACAAAATGACAGTTTTCACTATCAGTTTTGAGTCAGTATCACAATTGCTTGCAACTACCACAGGTGAAGTGTCCACATGGGCTTCCTTCCATGAAAACACGTTGCCAGCATTCTATTTAAATGCTTTCAACATACATTTGGAAGAGGCACCATATGGCCTTTCCCGGGGGGAGGGGCAGAGAAACAAAGTACAATTTGAATTTCAGGTCCTATACAGGAGATAACCCTAACTGAACTCAGAAGTGCTTACTTCTAAGTAGACATGCATAGGTTTGAGTAAAAAGCTGAGAACACCCTATGTGAGCTGATCACACACACTTTTTCCTATGCACTAACTTTTTAGCAGTCATCTGGTCTGTCATGCACTTCACTGCTCTGTCACTACCATATGCCCACCAGGCTTCTTTAAGAGGAAAAAAAAACTTGCCTAACACAAGGTGGGAGGACAACTAAAAGTCTGGTGACTGTATTCAAGAGTGAAAGCTTCAAAGAGATGAGGGGCCTACCCAAAAAAGTCAGCTCAAAGCAACAAAACAGACATGCATATATATTAGCACTCAGTGTGATCATTACAGAACTAGATGGATGAATGATTTGATTCAGCATAGGGAAACTACATATATACTCTATCCCAGAGTGGGCCCAGCTACAAAGGTAACCCAGAACTGAACACTTTTACAAAGAACAGCAAATAATACTATTATTTATTAGATTGATGAGATGGGGCTTTACGAAGTACAGGACACATCCTAGCCCTTAGAAGCTCACAAACTAAACAGTATACTTGCAAAAACATAGTATGTGTTACTAACACGTAGTTTCTACATGCTAGTAACACATACTATGCAGCCAAAGAAATTAGGCACTCTTGATTGGCCTTGTGAAAACGCTTGCCTGATGCTTCCAAACCAAGTAAGAGAAGAGATGCTCTGTGATTGGGAGGAAAGCGGGTGGGGAGAGCAAAAGCAACCCTTATTTCTTTTACACCCTCGGAGAAAAAGCAAAAAAACAGATTTCCATCATCTATGAAGAAACAGGCAGCTATTTCACAAACTGTACATCCAAAATGACAGCATCCTTACCTTCTCATTCCCTCCCACCCCCTTACTTGGAACCAGCCTCTTGGATCGACTACTGGAAGATATGCCTGAATGGGCTGAGACAGTCTGAAAATCGAAGGCTTCCCCAGGGTGCTATTCCTGATGGAATTAGCAGCAGGAGCTGAAAGCTGCATGCAGATAACTTTTTCTTCTTCTTGAAGTGTGTGTAGTGGGGGGAGTGACTACAACGTTTGGATTTGAATAGCAGAGTGATTAGAATAACAGGTTATGCTCCGTCAGAAAGCCTGAGTGTCCTGCAACGTAAATAAATGAGAAATTAGCCTTTCAAGCCTTCTACGCTATGAGATTTATGTACCATGGAGCTGGGGAAGATGATCACCAATAAGGCTTATGGTAAATATTTGAGTGTGCACACTAGGCAGTTAACTCTCCTGTATATAGGGAAAGACATCACAGGAGTTCATCCTACCTGGCAAAGAACTTAAAACACAATCCTGCTGCTCTTGAAGAACTTTGGCCTCAATTACCCATACTATAGAACTGATAACCATTGTGAAGCACATCTTGCTCCTGACCCCAAAATGCCTGTGTTCAGACTGCCATCCTGAACTGCCTTGTCAGGGAGTGAGCGCCCTTGAACTCAACAGGAGTTACGTTTGACTAAACACGCCTAAGACTGTGCTGCAAATCCCCAGCTGCTTCCCCAAGCCCGGATTGATTGAGAAGACATGTCATGACTAGCTTGGACTTGAGAAAAGGCAATTGGCAGGAAGGATAGGTGGGCAAGGTTGCTTGAGGTAAAGAGCAGAGGATGTTTAAAAAAAAAACCCACGCTAAAAACTGGAGCAATAAGTGGGAAATGGGGAGGCTGGCCAGGACTTATGAGAGTTGTTTTCTAAAACATGTAGAGGGCACTAGGTTGAAGTCTGCTGCAAACAACACTTAAAATGAGCTCCATGCTTCAGGTTTGCAGAGGCCCTTGAGCAAGCTGTCTTCAGTGAGCTGCACTCCTTCTTCTTTGCCACTGACCATTTCTTTTCCCTCTCCCTCTGCGCATAATCTGTACCACAAGCCCCTAAGGAGGTGGGTGATGGGAGCAGAAGCCCCCATTAATTTTTCTTATCACTCCTCACTTGAAGAGGGCAGGTGAACAGGCAGCAAGGAGCAAGAGCCAGTCATAAGCGTCAGTAGCAAAGAGCTGGCTGGCATGTGGTCTTTGACCAGTGCCCAGTTATGCTAACCTTTGATGGGCTTGATGCTATTTGGGAGGGCATCGTTTAAGAGACATGGGATAAAGGGAGTGGGATAATGTATATAGAGCCATGAAATGCACAATCTAAAAAAAGAAAAGTGATAGCCACATGAAGCTAAAAAAAAAAAGGAACCAAAAATAAAGGGCCACAGGGACAAGATGATGCATAAGGCTTAGAGACAAGAGGGGCTAGAGGAATGGAACAGAAGATAAAAGCCACAGGAATATTCTGGCAGTTATAGTTCCTTTTCTCACTGAAACATTGTGACCTGGTAATCTGATGAGACAACAAGGGCCAATAAGTAGTGTGTATTGATTTGAACTAGCTGGTTCTTTTTAACTGCAGGGTTTCAAGTTCCTGTTGCATTGCTCTATTGAATTTATAGATCTAAGTAATGTTTGATTGTGTTTATTTGCAATAAATTCCACATAATTTGATTGCTATATTCCTAGTCAACTTCATTAAGATCTCATGACCATCCTTAGTGGTCAATATAAGTCTGCTATTAAAGCTTCTGTGGTGAATAGAAACTTGTGCAGCAAAAGGCAAGTCGGTATAAGCAGTTATATATTCCAGACTGTAAATGTTACTGTGTTCACTTTTGTTGGTCGGAAAAGAAAAATAGGTATATAAAAAGAGAATTCCTGGATGCCTAGATCCAAGTTTTGGGCAAGTACTCTTTGGTGAGAGAACCCCAGCAGAGACTTGAAGTCTGGACATATGCAGCAAAGTAAAGTGTGGAAATATACAGGCAGTTAGACCTTTAAAATATCCCCTTCTAAGTTGCTTCTAAAGTTCCTCTCTTACCTTAGCATAAAAGAGACCAGACATTTGGTAAGTTAAAAATGGTTTAATTACAAACTCTTCAAAGGCCAGATTCACATGCTTTTCTGTACAACAGTAAGAAAATGGAGGCAGAAAAACTCAGGTTCAAAAGTGATAAATGTTTCTAAATTATTTGTATGGAAACACAAAGATGGCTTGCTTAAGCCACACTGTCTGGGCTTGGATCAGCCAGCCCAGACCTCCTTCCTGGTAGGATTCACATGGTGGAATGGGAGAACAAAGGCTTGATAACCCAAGGTAAGGGCTAGCTGAGTCTGGCAGGACATCTTACTCTATGGCCTTAACCCCATCATACATTTTGGTTATAAGAGGCAAGTATAATCCAAATGAAACAATACATTTTAAAAAGCATGGGGGAAGAGATCAGAGTATCAAGTATTGCTATTTTTATTTTTTTTAAATGAAAACTTCAAAAGAAGCTTTCAACTTAGTTTGGATTTTACATCTCACTCATATGCAGCACTAGGCTATTGGTTTAGTATTGATTTAGATTGCAGAATCTAGCTCCTGAATACCTAAACACACTTCCTGCAGGATTTTTGCTTTTCTTGTCAGTCTCCCACCCAAGTGTTGGGCAGCCCCAAACCTGCTTAGCTTGTAAGATCAGATAAGCTCACAGCTTGAAATGCGATGGCAATTTTAAAAATGATTAAACTCACTGCAACCTATTACAGCTGTTCCAGAAAACAAGGATTCACCTTGAACAGCATCCAAAAGAAGAGCAAAACTCCCAACTTCACAAAATATAAACAATATTGAATACCCACAAACCATTTACAAACAGTGACCCTGATCCAGCTATGCAAGTGCACTGTAGCTAGGGCTGCACACATAGCCCATGCCAGATAATCAGAAATCGTGGCAGATGAAGGATCTGACGGGTGGGGAGATGGACTACAAACTGACAGTGTTCTGACCTGGACTACATGCAACACAGATTGGCAGATGCATCGGGGGAACCGATTGTACGGTAACAACACCCATTGGTTCATACAGTTCCTCATTCTATTAGAGCAGGGGTGGCTAACATGTGTCCCTCCAGAAGTTATTGGACTCCAACTCCCATCAGCCCAAGCTGCTATGGCCAAATGGTTAGGGATGACAGGAGCTGTAGTCCAGCAACAGCTGGAACGCCAGTGGTATCCCATTCTTGAATGGGGTGTGTGAATGCAGAAGCCTTCTGTGCATAAATGCTTCTTTCTGGGGCAGGTGATCAACATGAACATTTAAAAAACCCTTCCATGTTATTAGCAGGCCCATGGTAGCAAGATACTTGTTGAGCCGATCTCTACTAGCTCCCTCAGATGGCTTTTGCTTCTGTGTCTTCTCCCCCAAAAACAAACTTTTGGACATCAGACAAGTAGTTGCAGCCAATGATGGGGAAGAGTGAGAGTGATAATTTAAGTTTAAAGACTTAGTCTTGCTTCTTCCTTCTCTGTGCCAATGGGGAAATGGCCGCTCAGCTGATCTTTAGGTTAACACCACTGTTGATAGGTGTGGTGGCTTCACGTGGAGCACGGTCAACACCATCTCTGGGAAGCAAAAGAGGCTGGAGAAGGTGCAGGATGCTAAACCTATTTCAGTCACTATGGTGACAGGATGCAAAGTCCTGTTTTGTAGAAGAAACACTAAGAGCTGTGGCTTGTCACACCGCAGTGGAGGAAGCTATTCGATCCACCTATTAAGGTACAAGAGCTCAGTGCTCCTTTGCATCCTGTCACCAAGTCTACATTGGACACACCAGACTAGAGAATAACTTGCTCAGGGAATCCAGCCACTCTAAATTCCTAAAAACATCATTTGGGGAGATTGAAAAGAAATAAAGACATGCAATATGACCAGTGGGGAAACATGAAAGCATGTTCATCCCCTCAAGCTGAGTGTGGTATCTGATTAAGCAGTTCTGTTAACACCATGACTCCTGGCTGTATAACAGAACTTTTCCTCTCTCTCCTCTCTCCACAAGGCTCCTAAATCTGTTCTGAGGTTCCCCCAAATCTCTGGATAAGATTTGGAGAGGATGTGGTGGGTACACAGACAGAGGAGAAGGGGGGTGGAGTTCCACGGGGCAAAAGAAAATCCTTGCACTAATGGAAATACTTTGTTGGATACCGTGCACTGTTTGCATGATACAGTATAAGTATGTGCAATCCCTACCAAGATTTCCCAAAGGCTACCTTGCACAGTTTCCTTCAACATTCCCAGACAAACATATTCAAGCCAGTTTTTCACATTAACTGCTTCCGGCCGTGAACATTGCACACCATCTGCGTTATTTCTGCTTCTGCCACCCCCGTCAAAAACCAAGTAGCTGCTTGGTTGGTCTTCCTCGCTGAATTCATCTATCTCTTGTTGCCATAAAACAAGCTTTCTGAAACCTCACATTCCCTCCGTATCTTTCTCTGGAGCATGACAAAAGTTGTGTCTGGGCCCCACTCTCTGACTCAGCGGATTAAATAGACTTTGTTGGGATTACAGCTGCCAATCAAGTTCAAGTGCATTTTTAATAGTTTAATTTGTGGCACAGGGTTTCAAATAAAATCATCAAGTGCAGTCGATTAAACTCATTAAGTCCTTACGGACTTGCCTGTGTGCAGTGCTGTTATCAGATTCCGAGACATGAGAATTAATTAGGCCTCTGTTATCCTTTGTATGGATTAGCGTGCTAGGCCCAGAGGCCTGGCGTTTTTCTGTGCACTAGGCCTATAATCTCTTTACCAGCCCTACTGGGAGAGGCAGCGGCCTAAAGAGATTTCTTCAACATTCCTCAAAGATCAAACTACAACCAATTTCACATTCTCTGACATTTTTATTTAAATAAAGTACTGTGCAAATAAGTCACTTTGCCCTGAAGAATACAGGAAGGTGGAAAGGCCTAGATTCTTAAATTATGGACTATCCTCTTGTAGCACCCTGCTTGTGGATGCCTCACTCTGAGGAGCACCCATTTGACTTTTGGGAAGGAAGTGAAACCTTGGTTACTCTGAAGTAGTCCAGGAAAGGTGCTGACCATATCACTCCACTTTTGCTAATCTTATATTTGCAGTTGCTAATTATTACTGCAACCTTTTTTTGGCTGTACTGTTTTCATCCTTGCTTTATAGAACTCTTTGTTTTCTTGTAAACTGCCTAGGGAGCCTTTTGGATACGAAGGGAAGGGAAGGGAAGGTAAAAAAAAAAAAAAGAAGTTTTAAATTCAATAAATAATCAGTCTTGTAAATACAGCTGGCATCCTGTATTTGCATCTTCCATGTGAAATATTAGCACATGGATTATAATAGTACATGAAGGGAATGGGAACATTCCTGGCTTTTAATCGGGTACAGCCTTACAGCAGTTGTGTTGTGCTGGATTTGATGATAGGATGTCAGTTTGTCTTGTCTAGCATTTATCATGGTTTGAAATCACTACACACATCGTGCATCAAATATATTTTGTTCTTATGTATGGTTGTGCACGCTAAGGTTCAGTCTTGCAGCCCAGTCTACTGTAGGTTTACTGAAAAACACCACTAACAGGTCACAGTCACCAATGCCCTGCTAACCTCCAGTTTAGACTACTGTAATGCATTCTACATGGGGCTGCCCTTGAAAATGGTTCAGTAATTGAGATTGGTGCAAAATGCAGCCACCAGGGTGCTGATGGGGGCAACGGGTTAGGTGTACACAATCTCAATTTTACAAATACATTGGGTGCAGATTGTGCTCAAGGTGCTTAGACTTAAAGCCCTTAATGCCTAGGGCCTAAATATATCAGAGAATACCTGCTATTCATGCCTTGAGATTTGCAGACGAAGTCCCTCTGAGTGGTCCCTGCACAGAAAAAAAACAGCAGCTCAGGGAAGAGTGTGTGTTTTGTGGTGAAATTCATTTCCCACTAAGGTACATCTGACTTCTCCAATATATTATTTTTGGAAATGGGTTAACGTCTCTTTTGTCAGGATTCTGGAGGAGAGGTGTGGTGAAGAATTGTTAGCTGACAAATAATTTGATGCCGCCTTTTTCTGCTGTTCTTAGAGTTATGGCATTATTCTGATTATATTTTGTTTGTATTTAATTCTATTGTTTTCAATATGTTTATATTGAAGTAAAATGTCCTGGGGCCTTACTGGCAAAAGGCAGTATATAAGACAAGGCAAACAAACAAATAAACAAATTTCAGTGAGACTTCCTTTCGCTTAAACAGCCCTAGTACCCTAGTAAATTACAACAAGTGTATTTCATTGAAATTATACACTCCAGTCTTTCCTTTCTAGGGGGAAGTTCATTGAGCATGTGGCAGCAGAACAATTTCAGGCATTTTCATTCCCGTTTTATTTACTGATAATGATAATAAATGTTAGTTAGCCTGTTATCTCTTTTTCTAATTTCCATCAACACCTCCTCATGTTCATTTCCCTCAGAGGAGGGATACTTTTCACCTCCACTGAACTTCTCACGGTCCTGGCCATTTTTACTTAGCATGCAAGGAGTTGGCTGGAGCTAATCCAACCCAAAGGGCTATGGCATGGCTAGGGGATGGGCCAGGCAAGTGAGGAGGCACTGGGTAGACCAGGCATAGGCAATCTCAGCTCTCCAGGTGCTTTGGGACTACAATTCCCATGATCCCTAGCTAACAGGACCAGTGGTCAGGGATGATGGGAATTGTAGTCCCAAAACATCTGGAGGGCCAAGTTTGCCTATGCCTGGTGTAGACTGTGGCACTGAGACCCATCCGAAAATGGGCCAAGAGTCCCAGCCTACTTTTTGAGAAATACCAATGTATATGGAACTGCTGGGAGACTAGCCAGAGCCTTGGCAACACATTCATCAACAGACACTTCAACTGTATATTTCTTGAAGTTCGCAGGACCTACCATCTCTGTATGTCTATGATACTTCCACTTTGTATACCCCTACTGAACAGGTTTGGAATCACGGTGTATTTTTGGATCTGGCATACTCCTGGAGAAGCAGCCAGCGGTGGTAGCAGTGGCAAGAGGTAGAAGTGTGTTTTACCATCTATATTTACTACGGGTAAGCAAAGCCATGCTTTTGTAACCTTCACACATTAACTGTGAGAGTGTGCTCCTTTCAGGACATGTAGCTCTTATTAATATATTACTGAAAAGCAAACCTTTTAGAATATAAGTATGAAGTGTGCTTCCATATTTTGATTCAGAAAAAGATGCATTTCAACTATTGCATCAGGACTTGGGGAAACAAAGCGGGGCAACCCCAGCATACGCAGTGGTGGAGCTTCATGCTCCGGCACCGGGGGGCGGAGAGCAGGCGGAGTGGGGCTGGCGCGCGTCCTGGGGGCGTGGCACACCGCCTGTGGGGGGGCCAACCACGATGGCACCCCACTGGGATCGCGCTGCCAGGGGCGGTGTGCTCCCCCCCCCCCGCACTCCTCTTCCTCCTCCAGTGAGCGTACATACATCTCTCCCCAACCAAATGACGTCACTGAAGACACCAACCATCAGATTGCTTTTTGCAGCAAGGGGTTGGCCTCAGGCACAGGTTTCAACATGAGCACAAATTACTTGGATATAATGTGCCAGTTGAGTGTTTTGCACAAGCAGGGGAACAAATGGCATAACAAGGAAACCATGTTAGTGATTTGTTCAGAGGAGGGAGGAGGGAGCTTTAGGCAGAGCCCTAAGGTGGGACTTCTTCGGTCTTTAAGGATATAGTTATTTACATTCACCAATAAGGCCAGCCACTCACAGGGTTTGCTAAACGAGGCTTTGTCCAAGAGCATTTTTCCAGAGACATAAATTATTTTTGATAGGCCAGCTGCCAGCATACCCACTCAGCAAATGTATGGCAGCGTTACAGCACATTGTAAAAAGAGTGATGAACTTAAGGGGATGAGGAAAAGTAATCCTTACTGCAGCTGGCAAGAGTTTTACACTCTCTAACGGCCCTGGCAAATTGCATTTGCTGGGAGTTCAGCTTTGGCAATTTTCAAGCTCACTCACTTGGGCCTACCAGTTCTTGCTTTGGTTTATTACAGAGGCTTAAACATATGGGCCCATGACCTCCAAGTCTGTGACTCCCCAAGGTGACTTCAACAATCAAGTCCAGTTACAGTATTTCTTCCCTCTCTCTTCCCCTCCTCCCATTTCCCTTAACTTCCATTTTCTTGCTGGCAGAGTTACAGAGCCATTCAGGGGCTGTGCCTGGCGTAGCAAATAGTTCAAGGCCTTGTCTGCACCCCTGCAGATGTGGAGGTCTGACATGCATCAGATCTGAGCAGTCTATACCGTATTGCCCACTTGATCAGCACTGTGATAAGAATCACACAATAGTCATGAACAACTTGTCTGTGGTGTGTTCCAGGAGCAATAAGGTTTCTCATGCTCAGTGTGTTATGAACCATACTGTTATTGTTTCTGCTGTTTAGCCCAAGCTGGGGGGCGGGGCGGGAAATGAAGCACAATAATCCAAGTGCGCAGAAACAGTAATTGTATATATAGACTTGTCTCCTTTTATTTTATTTTATTTTAAAGGGTTTCACCTATTCTTTTGGCCAATTTTGTTTGCTTCCAACCAGATATCCACCTTCCTCCTAATTTACATGTGCTCCAGTTCCTCTTGAAAGTCACCCAAATCAATGTTAATTCTTTACCATATCTTGGAAATTTAAGTTGTATAAGCAGGCATGAATTTGCCACTTTGTCTTGGTTAAAGTGGTACAGCCTGCTTACTTGAGGAGAGGGAGCAACACCTGGAAACAAGAGAGATGCTTCCCTTCTCAACATCAAACATCAGATAAAACGCTTCCACTGTCTTATATTTATCTAAAACAAAGCTGCATTCAAGGAAGAGGGAGGCCCTGGGCTTTCCCCTCACTTCAACTTCCAATAATCTCCACTGATTCCAGAGGACGCTACAACTTTTGTTTAAGACTTTGGCGACCCTACCCTTGCTTTTCACCTCCCCTATAATTTCCATATAGTATTTATAGGCTGCTCTATAATCAGTTTCTCAGGGCAGCTCACAACAGAAGATAAAATACATATGCATACATACATCATTGTATTTGTATGCTGCCTTTCCATAGTTAAAACCATGCTCAAGTCGGCTTACAACATGAACAAAATTACATAATTACAGGTATAAAAAGTAGACATAAAGACGAAATAAAACATCAAAAAGTGCACAATCAAATCAATCTCCACATAAATCATAATAACATCTAAAATAAAGATACAAAATGATAACATCAATAACAGAAACAACCCCATCCCACAACAAAACCCCCTAAACAATGCCCTAGCCCAAGAGTCTGTTCAGCAACCTCAGCTTTTGTAGCTGGAGTCAGTCAGGCCCCTGTCCTCCCAGGCCAGGTGGAAAAAGGCCTGCAAGGCAGGCAGCAGATCTTCCAAGACTCACAGCCAATATAACATTCACAATTACGTATTTTTCTCTATTTTCTTGACCCCTTCATTTCCAAATGTTTTGCATTTATAGCACAATTATATAGTGTCTATTCAAAAGTAAGTCTCATTGAATTAAGGGAGTCCCACTGAATTAAGTGAGACTTACTACCAGATAAGTGGGTCTTTAGACTCAGTTTGTAAGATACCCTTACTCCAATTACTATATATGGGGTTACTGTGTCCCTGAAAGGATGCTATGGGGTAAGTCAAGCTGCGTGGTGAGACCATCTATCAACTTTGTATCTGAATACAGGATTGTATCCACCTTTTCCACATCCAAGACCTTTCCTTTTAATGTTTGTGCCTCACTTTTATTTCCAAAAGTAAAGTCAAAAGCTGCTAACAATAATTTTAGTGTTTGAATGTGTGTGTCGCAAAGAGAGGGAGAAAAGCAGGGAGGAGAATGGCAATAAAATTGTACAATAACATCAATAAAATTTCAGTTCAGTTCCTAAGGGAAAACCCAACTATTCAATTAATAAACATATTACAAAGTCCATAAACATTAAATCAATAAATTCCTGCAGTGTGAATATTTCAATAAATAACAAGGGGCTAATAAAACACAAGACATACTTTAGTCAAAAATATGTACTCTCATGCGCTCCCTCAACTAATATATTGGAACATGCCATTATGGTTATAATCCTGTACATAGTTACATGGGAGGCAGTCCCATTAAACTCAGTGGGCTCACTTTTGAGTAGGCACATATAAAATGGCACTATGTAGCAGACAAATTCATCCTACAAACAGCAGGAGCCAAAAGGAAAGGACCAGGCTGTTATAGGGCCCTCTAATAAGGCCCACTGTTTATCTAAAAGGTTGACTGTTGTAGTTAAATATTTGTACAAAATAAACAGCACCAATTTCATTACTGCAATGTGCTTAATGTGGAGCTTCAGTTGAAGACAACTTGGAGGCTGCAGCTAGTGCAGAATGAAGTGGCTAGGCAGCCATGTGGAATATTGTTGTTGCCATGTTGCTGGAAGCATGAAACACCATTTCTAAAAGAACTACTGGTCTGGAGAAAAATTATCCTGATGTTTTTTCTACCATTCCTCCTCCATACAAAAAAGCCGCATTTGAAAATTTCCAAAGAGGAGATAAAGTATCAGTGGGTGGAGTGCAGGTTTGTCTCTCTCTATGTGTGTGTGTGTGCTTAGCTTACTTTCAAGGTGCCTAAATGTGCCAATAGAACATGGTAAAATCATTTTAAGAACATGAGAAGTACATGGCCCATCTAGTCCAGCATCCTATTTCCATAGTGGTCAGTCAGAATATACCTATGGAAAGCCCAAAAGCAGGAGCTTAGTACAACTGCACACTCTCCATTTGCAATCCCAGCAGTGACCATCTGCAAAGCTACCTCAAAAAAAAAAAAAAAAATGGCAGCCAAAGACAAGGTCTCCTATACTTGATATTCCTTCTTTACCAAAAAGGAGGTCAGTTTCTACTTGCATATGCCTCCTTGACAGGAACAAACTAGGGAGCTACGATATGCTTTGTGGCCAGTTCTTGTGTTCCCTCAGCAAGGGCATATAAACTGCCATAAGGGTAAGGGAACCTCTTGCCCTCCAGATGACATTAACTTCAACTCCCATCAGCCCTAGCCAGCAATCAGTGATGATGGGCGCTATAGCCTAGCAATCTCTGGAAAGCCACAGATTCTCCACCCCAGAACTGCTGGCTGAAAGCAAAGGATCTCTCTCTCTGCCTCTTTTCTTTGTGAATGACAAGAGTGTCTCTATATGACAGAGGCCATTGATGCTTCAGCCACCGAGCTGCCAATTCAGTGAGTCATTCTGGAGAGATAACAGTATGGAAAGGGGGAAAGGTGGGCACTTATCCACCAGGTCCGTACATAGCACAGTTGTTGGTGGGCAACGAACAATTTCCCTCCAGTGAAGGCTGAAGCAATGCTGGATGGAGTTTCTGGAACTGCCATGTGCAGCCTCTGCGTGTCCCCTCGCTGAGAGAAATGACTGTAGAATGTGGCCTTTTGTTGAACACAAAGCCAGGCTGCCAGGAGAAGGATGCTGTGCCAGTGTTGTGGAAGACGCCTGTGCGTGAATTTGTTTTATGTGTGTAGATCAGTGCACGCTGACCAACACAGTCTTCGCAGTAAGGCTCT